CTGCTCCCGCCGGGAAGAAGGGAGGGAGGGAGGGAAGGGGAGGGGTCCTCGTCTGCACAGCGGGAATCAGAAGCAGATTCAGACATAGGCTGGGCCAGCGGGGGAGGGGGCTGCGAGGCCCTTGAGCCGGGGGAGGGGCCTGGGATCGTGGAATGCGTTGGCGGAGGGTCTGGAGGGGGCAGCCCTGCAGCCCATAGGGGACCACCCAGCAGGGTCCCAGGCCTTGGCTGCTTTTGAGGTTGTGTGACAGTGGTGCGCTGGGGCTCTGGGCCACTGCTTCACTGAGGCCAATCACACAGGGAGGGGCTTAGGTCTGACTGTTGAGCTCTGGGTGTCCCATGGGTGGGGAAGCTAAGTAGGGCTAGTAAGACTAAGGTCTTGTCCCCAAAACTGCAGTCTGCTGTCCTAGAAAGAATCTAGGGTTTGGGTCAGGTCTGATTTTGAACCCAAACTGCACCAATTTCTGGCTATGTAGCTTGGGTTCCTTAGTTTCCCCATTAAATGTGGTTCAGCTTGCTCTGTGGAGCTGCTTGAAGGATCTGATTAGCACATGTAGAAATCAGATCCAAACTAGGAAATCCCCTAGGGCATCCACTAGGGCTGATCTGAGCTCAGCTGGATAAAGCCAAATTTTTGTGTCAAAGCATCCCTAAATTTCAGAATGTCTGATTTTCTCATCATTATGGGCCCAGAAGTGGGAGCTGACAGGAAATGAGTGCTCTGGGAGGGCGAAACGCCTACTAGGTGGCTTCTTGGGGTTTAGAGTTTGGTCAGCTCTTGAGGGCCTCTGTGGAAGGGTAGAAGGTGAGGTATGACCCATGTGGAGGGACTGGGCAGGGACACAGGCAGAAACCAAGCTGAGTGGTTTTGCCGACAGGTACCAGGGATCATTCTGGGCAGAGAAACTCCCTTCCCTGCCACCTTTACGTCCTTGTCAGAGGAGACAAATGTCTCAAGAAGTGTTGAGAGCTGGCTCTATGTAGAGGGGGGAGGGAACCCCCTCTATACCTCACACCTCCAGAGCAGACATGATGCATGAATTCCCACAATTTTGGAAGGAAGGCTGACTCCAGGCCAGGCCTTGCAGTTAGCCAGTGAAGGAGGCCACACAGGCATGGCTCCATAGGCACAGTTGCCAACCTAGGCCAGGCCAGAGTTGCTATAAAGACCAACAGAAAGAGGAAGAGAATCAGAAGTGTTGTGCTATTTGAAGAAGAAAAGAGGACACTGGAGCCTTCCAGGGCAAGCCAAAGGGGCAGAGGAAGTAGGAAGGCCTGGTAGGGTGCTGGGCTCCCAGCTTGCCTCTTGGACAAATTGACTCCCCTAACCCTAGCACTTTCTTGGGCCTGACATCTACACATGCAAAGATGGGGATGGGAATGAGCCTGGAGTTCTAGTGGGGCTACTGGCCAGTTTGTTCATGTTTAGTAGCCACAACTGCTCTTCCATTTCCCAATAAAATGAGTGAAAATGTGTCCCTTACCATAAACTTGTGTAGTCATGCATGGTGGCATACATCTGTAATCCTAGCACTCAAAAAGCTGAGGTAGGAGAACTGCTGTGAGTTTGAGGCCAGCCTGGGCTACACAGTGAGTTCAAGACCAGCCTGAATTACCAGGCAAAACCCTGACAAAACAAACAAACAATAAGCTGTTGTGGGTTTATACTCTCCTCTGGGAAAGGTCACATTCAAAATCAGTACCATTCCAGTCATCCTCTTCCTTCCAGACCTCTATCCCCAAACCCCATATAAGATATAAGGATCCCTCGGGCTGGGAATTCAGCTCAGCGGTTTGGTGGCCTGCCTTGCAAGCGCAAGGACCCGAGTTCAATCGTGGTACAAAAAAAAAAAAAAAAAAAAAAAAAAATAAAAGATATAAGGATCCATGGTGGGCACATAGGGGCTGAGGTCCATCATTTGGGAGCAGTGGAAAGGCCCAGACCTGTCACTGAGCTCAACAGTCCTCCCAGGAAAGCCAGGCTGTCCCTGGACTTCAGAGCCACTGTCAGAGTTCCCAGAGCCAGCTTTGTCTTCAGCCCAGCATTGCTGTGAGCTGGGGTCTACAGAACATCTGATGGTTTCTGGTGTGGGTAAAGTAGGTGCCTGGAGTTCGGTGGTGATCAAGTTAGCAGGGAACAGAGGACGCCAGGGCCCACAGGGCCACCTTGTCACCAGCTCTTTGGGGCTGCAAATTCCCCTCCGTACATTTCCTCTCTGCTCATACTCTGTTCAGGGTTCTCAGGGATGCCTCTCTCAGTGTGATGGGAGTTGAACCTTTCCCCATAGCCCATGGGTGAGGCCCATTGCTTCTGGTGGAGACAGCCACCTGTCCCAGTCCCTCTTATGCCACCCACCTTTTCAGTCTCTGCTTTCCTCCTTTTCCCTCACCTGCGACTCCTCAGACTCAGAGTGACAGCCGCTGGCTTAGGGGTACAAGCAGTGGGGAAATCTTAGAATATATAGAGGGCTATTGACTAGGTAACTCTGGGCCCAAGCCACCAGGGTTTATTGTCCCCTCCACCCCCCCCAACTCTTGTAAGCCACTTGTCCTCTTCTTGTGCATTTATTGAGCGCCTATTATGCCACGAGGGCCCCAGTGCAGAAGGTGAACAGTCCTTGCCCCAGTGCACAGCGGTCACAGCCGACCCATGTTTGTCAGCCTGCACCCCAAACCAGGTGGGGACCTGAGCTTGGAGGCTCCTATTCGCATAGGCTCCCGCCTGCCCTGCTCTCAGCCTGGTCTACTTTGGGGTGGCAACCCGCTCTGCGTGCCAAGAGAAACGCTGAAAGGCAGTTCTGAGTGAAGGGAGAATATGAGCAGGCAGTGCAGGGAACAGGCCCCTTAGCCCCTCTGCCAGGACCTCCTAGGGCTTGGGAAAGCTGTGTTTTAGGGAATGGGCTCCTGCAACTTGCATGTGCAGTAGAGGACACAGCCAGGCACCCGAGCTCAGGGCATCCTCTGCTCCAGGGGCCCGTTTCACCCAGCCTTCTGCTGCAGCTGCTGTGCGCACCAGCACAGGAAGGAGGCGGCTAGGAATCTGAGACCCATGCCCAGCGCCGCCAGCGCCGCGTCTTGGGCGAGGTCCGTGCAGTGTAAAGGTGATAGCCGTGGCAGCAGCACTGGCCAGTAAGTCTAGGGCGCCGAAGGGCAACATGCAGAGAGGCCAGGAGTGCCCCACACTGCTGATGGCCAAGGGTAGAGTGTGCAGTGCCACGGGAGGGTCTGGGGACACAGGGCCTAGTGGGGCAGCCCTGAAAGGGTGGGGTGGAATGTGGCCCTTCATTGCAGCCCTGGCTGGCGTCTGGGCTAATCACGTCCGAGCTGATTGGCTTTGGACTGGATGACGCCACCCAGGATGCCAGGGAGAGCTGCAGCCACCTCCAGCTTTGTTGGGAAACCCTTACTTGTGCTGAATCCTACTTGGGGACTACTCACAAACACCCCCTCACACTGCTGGGGAAACCGACACGGTATAGTAATTGTTCAATCTGGGAATTATGGGGTCCTCCAGTGCATAAATTCTGTAGGGAGTAATGGAGTTGCCAGGAGGGATGGCTGGCTAATGGTCACAGCAAGGTATAAGTGGTATGGGGTGCTGGGTGCCAGACTACAAGGATGGGGAAGGTCACAGACTGTCCTTTCTTGGATCACCATTCCTTGGAATTTGCTGCAGGAGGAACCCTTCATCCCCCCCCCCCCAAGAAGGAACCCTTACCAATTATTTTACAGTTGCAGGATGAGGCCCAGTGTAGTTCATTTTCTACTTTGCACTGTCATCTGCTTCCTACCAAACCTCAAACCCGGGGCCCTCTGTCAGATGATACTTTCTGGCTGGCCTGTGAGGCTCCATAGCTGTCCACACACGGGGCCAGTGCCCCAGCTCCAGAGAATGCCTACGCAGTTGGGGCTCAATGAAGATTCATGTAAAGAACCCTAAGCACCCCAGCCATAGGCTAACACACAACTCAGCCCAATGCTATAGATGCATTACGCCACTAACACACGCCAGTCCCATAGGGTAACAGCCACTTCCCTCTGTGATGGTGGAGGGGACAAACCTGGGAATTAAGGCTCAGAGTCCTTAAGAATCTTGCTGAAAGTCTCACAGTAAGAAACAAGACATGATGTAAATCCAAGCCTGGGGCTGCAACCCTGACTCCTGCTCTTTATTGCCTTCCAGGGCTGGTGGTGATTCCTTTCACAGCGGATGGGGAAGTCTCAGAGGAGGTGACAGTGGAGTGGGAGGGGCAAATGGCATTTCCGCTGAAAGAGGCTTCAGTGGGCAGCCACGTTATCTGCCACAGAACTGGTGTCAGGAGGCGCTAGGCACAAGGCATGAGGAGTCAGTAGGGAAAGAACGAGGCACTTAGAAGAGGGGGCTTCAGATATGCCGAAGCAAATGCCCACGTCAAGTATCCTTGCCCCTTCCCTTATGAAAAGAGATTCATATTCCTGATAAATTTACTTCATACAATATTTTTTCTTTTAAGACAGGGTCTCACTGTGTAGTCTAGGTTGGCCTTGGGACTGCCTCATCTCCTAGGTGCTAGGATTACAGGTATGTGGCATGTCCAACTTGACACATTCTTGATTAATAAGACTATAAAGAAATAAAAACTGCCGGGAGTGGTGGTGCAGGCCTGTAATACCAGCACTTGGGAGGCTGAGGCAGGAGGATTGCTGTGAGTTCGAGACCAGCCTGGGCTACACAGTGAGTTCCAGGTCAGTCTCAACTACATAGCGAAACCCTTGTCTCAAAAAAGCAAAAAGAAATAAAAACTATAAAGGATTCTCTATCAAATTCTACTTTGGTATGATTTAGATAGATATAATTCCTCAAGTAGTAATTTTAGTATAGTAGCTCTTAGATCTACAGTGAGAAAATAGAGACAGAAAAAGGGTCCCCCACCCTAGGCATCTGGGCCCCAGGAAGGCAGAAAGCTGAGTCCTGACCAGCAGGTTTGGCCATAGTGAGAACAGACAGGGCAGCCCACTCACTCCACCTTGGACACAGAGTGAGGTACAGGTCCCTGGATCAACCAAACCAGGGAAATTCTCCACAATCTCAGTTTACTTTACGCCAGTCAGGAGGAGGGGACTCTTCTGAAAGGCTTTCTTGCCCCAGGTGCCAAGGCCTGGGTTGCAGGCTCAGTCAGCAGGGTCTTCTTGCAGGATTGTAAGGAAGCGTTCACCTCCCTCGCAGAGCAGGCTGTGGGCAGCCCGGCACAGCGCCAGCCAGGCTGGACCCCGTGGCTCCTGGGTGCTCACCATGGGGAGGAGTTCAGCCATCAGGACCTGGGAGAAGTGTAATGCTATGGTTGTAATGGGCCCTGTTCCAGCTGGTAGCCCAAGGCTCCAACAGGTGGGAAGTCCTGGGACAAATTTCCATGGTACAGCCTTCCCTCCTCCTAAGGCACTGAGCATCCAGGGCATGCATCCATCTGGGACCTTCCCAGCTCACAGGCAGGCTGGGAAGACTGTTATCCCAGTGGGTCCTAGGAGAGGAGCCCAGTGACCACCTCACCCAGGGTTTCCTTTCCTTGAATGGGCCTTTGTGGGGCATTAGTGCCAGCCCTTTGCATGGCATTGGCTCCCCAGGTGGCCTGTGCACATCCTCTCACCTTCTGCTCTGCAAGTACCTTTTCCAGGTGGACCTGCTGCTCCAGCATGGCCACCCGCAGCCTGAGGGTCGCCAAGGTCTGCAGCTCTTGGGTGCTGGAGTAGAGAAGGAGCTGGGGACCCCAGGAAGTGCACACTCGACTGCCACAGGGCAATGAGGCCCGAAGAGGCCTCCCTATGAGACAAGGTCCTGGCAACTGTTCTGTCTGAGCTGTAAGGACCAGAGGACACAGCCTTATGGGGAGGCAGCCAGCCACACCCAGGTTCCCACACCATTTTGGTCATGAGAGGGGATCCCCCTGAGAGGCTTGCCACCCCATGGTCCCAAGCTTGCCTTTCCAGGTACTCGCTCCTCTCCACTAGCTCACCTGGCTCTTTCTTTTGATATACTAGAGACTGAACCTAGAGAGCACTGAGCTACATTCCCAACGCCTCCACATCCTCCCCCCCTTTTATTTCCGGTTCCAGGGATTGAACTCAGGATCTTGTGCTTGCCAGGTAGGTGTGGTGCCACTGAGCTACATCCCCAGACCTACACATCCCTCTTTTTTGAGACAGTCTCTGTAGGTAGTCCAGGCTTGTCTTGAACACACTACACTATGGAGCCCAAGTGGGCTCTGAACCTGAGGCCCTCTTGCCTCAATCTCCTGGGTTGGATGCTGGGATTATAGGTAACACTATGCCCAACTTATTTCCTTTTTACTTTATTTGGGTATAAGGTCTAGCTAGGCTGCCCAGGCTGGCCTCAAACTTCTGATTTCCTCTTTCAGCCTTCTGCATGGCTGGGATTACAGCAGTATATCACCAAATCTAGCTTGTTAGCCTTTTAAAGGGTGAAAATCTGGGCTTTCAGAACGGCCTAGTGTGTGGCAGTGTGGTGGGCCAGTCTGGGCTTGGTGTTGTTGGGACAGACCTTGTGGAGTCTCCCTTTACCTCCTAGGTTTCTTTTTTGTTTTTGCAGACAGGGCCTTGCTATATAATCCAGGCCGACCTTGAGCTAAGAAGCCCAGGTTAGCTTCAAATTTACCATCCTCCTCCTCCCTTCAGTTTCCTAGGTGCTGGGATTACAGGTGTGTGCCATCACACCTGGTACCTGAGTGTCTCTTTGTCCCCCCCACCCCTTGGTACTGGGGATTGAACTCAGGACCTTGCACTTGTGAGGCAGGTACAGTGCCACTGAGCTAAAACTCCAGCCCCCAACCCCCGGTTTCTTTACTGTGCTTATGACTTTCTTGAGTCTAGACTTTGTTTTTGACAGATGGTAGATCTTCACTCTTAAAACTAGAAGCAGTTAAAGATGCAAAGGAGCTGGGCATGGTGGTACCCAACTGTAAAGCCAGCTTCTCCAAAAACTGAGGCAGGAGGATTGTAGGTTTGAGGCCAGCCTAGGCAATTTAGCAAGATCCTCAATCAGATTAAAATAAATAAGGCTGAAAAAAAATCAGGTTGGGGACATAGCTCAGTGGTAGAGTATTTACCTAGCATGCCAAAGGCCCTGGATTCAATGCCCAGTATGGGGGGGCAGCAGCAAAGGAGAAAACCAGCTCTGTTGCTCACAGTTACCCTTTAATACCTGAATAAATAAACTGCTCAGTTTGGTGAGGATCTGTCTTTCAGAAGGGTAAGGGGGCTGTTCTATCCAGGTAAGGATGGCTGGCTGGTACCAAGGACAATTGGTGACAACCCAGGACACTGTGTGTACCAGGTTAGGGGAGGGTGGGGCTAAAGTGCCCTGACTCTGGTCCAGACCTTGGTACAGGGATGGGGCCTCACCTGCACGCAGTTCCTGAAGCTTATGGAGACACTGCTCAACCATGGCCTGCAGCCCTTCCAGAGTGAGCAGGCATCGGTACTCCTGCATCCAGTCTACAGGGGCTACACAACAGGGAAGGCAGGCTGCATCCAAGCTGGTCCTGGAATCTGCCTTGCAGACCCCCTTCCCAGGCTCCAGTCTAGGCTGCTAACCTGCTGAGAGCTCTTCTTCCATTCGTAGTCTCAGCAGTGCACAGGCTTTCTGCAGGCACTGGACCTCCATCTCTACCTCCACGGCACTGAACCTGGAGCTGGATGTGCTTGACTGGATATGGGTCAAGGAAACTCTTCCATGGCCAGACCCCACACTCCCACCAAGGATGGGGTCTGGAGAAATCCCATGGCCATTCCACAGAGGAGCCTCCTGGGGCTGTTCCTGAGAATAGGGAGCCACCAGGTTCCCATAGTCCCAGCAAGGATACAGCCATCTGCATTTTCTGGAGGAATCGGGTTTTGGCAGCACTGGTGGCATCTGTGGCGTCACTGGTTTGTGTGGAGTTGAGCTGGGTCCACAGGCTGGGATACACACCAGGGCACCCCAGGAAGCAAAGAGAGGCACAATCATTCCGGTCAGATGGGCTGGGCACTGGGAGGAAGGTGAGGAGCAGAGCAGGGGCCCCAGGCTGGGTACATGGGTCAGCTGAATGCCAGCAGGGGCCTCAAGGGGCACTGGGGAACTTAAAGGACAATGACCATGACAAGGGGATAAAGGGACAGAGCCAGGTGAGGAAATACTAAGAGGACAGGGGTGGAGCTCAGTGGTGCTTGTCTAACATGCATAAGACCCAATGGGGTGGGGGGAGAATACTAAAACAAAATTCAAGGGTAAAGGAACTGGCAGTGAGTAGGTACTGTGACTGGCAAGAGATCTATATGTTTGCTCTGTACTAGGCATAGCGCAAACACCTGAAAGGCACCACCTTAACCTTCCATGGCCCGTACCTCTGTGAAGCTGAGCCTACTGTTGTCTCCAGAGGGAAGACAGACCGGACTTTGGGAACAGTAAGTGTCATGTTCAGGTCTCACAGCTTGTGAGTGGTTAAGCTGGGGGTCTCAAAGCCCCCTGAACCTGAGGCAACTGCAGCCCTAGCTGGACAGACTGAACAATGACAATGCCAGCAAAGAAACAAAGGGACCTACTACATAGTTTTGCCTGTATGTCTCTGAGCTGGTGACATTTTCCCTATGTCCTTCTGTCTCCACCCAGCCTTACCAGGAATTCCGGGAAGCCGCCTTCCTGAAAGCCAAGGGCAGTTGCAGCAGAGTCCTATCAGAGAAGCCAACGTTCAGAGTAGCCTTGTCTCACTGTAGGTACTGCCAGACCTGTTTCTTGCTCATATCTCATTGGAGGGTCTTTACTCTCTCCTCAGTCTCATCCCCTGACCCTTTGTGGTCCTGGGGATTGAACCCAGGGCCTTTGCACTGAACTGTATCCCCAGCCCTTTTTATATTTTATTTTGAGACAGGGTCTGATTAAATTGATAAGTTGCTCAGGCGAGGCCTAAACTTTCAATCCTTCTGCTTCAGGCGCCCTAAATTCTGGGATTACAAGTAGGTGCCACTACAAGCACTCTTGGAAGGGGCTTCTAGAGTGGCGTGAGAGTTGGCCCATCCCAGTACTGCCCTGGCAGAGAGAAGAGAGGACACTATAGCTTGGCATGGGGGTGCACGCCTATAATTCCAGCACTTGGGAGGCTGAGACAGGAAGATCACTTGTGAGTTCAAGGCCACCCTGGGCTATACAGTTCAAGGCCAGCGTGAACTGCACAGTGAGACCCTGTCTCAAAAACCAAAACAAAACAAAGTAACAATGAATACAGCCCAAGTGCTCCAGAGCCCATCTGGAGCCTCTGAGCTGGGTGGGTAAAGGAGTAGCTGGTCGGAACAGGGCAAGTCAGGCTCTAGTATGTCAAACCTGTTACCATCCAAGCCATCTGCTCCATTCAGCCAGCAGCAGAATGTGGTACCTAGCTCTGGCACATCCGGTTCAATGTCCTGCCCTCTCTGTACCCCAAGCTCCACACTCCTGCTGTTGGCTGGGTCTAAGCAGTTAAAGAGAAATTTCTCCAGTGAGTGTCAGGGAAACCTACCCCTTCTCCTTGAGTGTGAAGGTTTCTGCTGCATGAGGAGAAGCTGATGGGGTCATTTGTTCCCCGTGGCTTGGTTCAAGCCTGGTCCCTCGAGCTCGTATGTGCACGGCATGAGGCCTGTCTCTCACCGACAGAAGCCTGTGCTCTGGGTGGTCCTTGGCAGGCACCACAGTCTGATGAATGCCCTTGGTGGGTCTTGTCCTTGAAGAACAGTGGCCAGCCTGACTTGAGGCCTGGGGCAGAGCAGAGGCAGTGGTGCCTGGAGACGCAGCAACAGTCCCAGATTGCAGGCTGGACATTCTGGTTTTTTTCCCAGTCTTAGAGACACCTTTCCGCACCTGTACAGCTTTCTCCAGTGCCTGGGTCAGAAGCTCCAGCTCCTTGAAGTCTTGGGGGCTTGGTGTGCATGCTGTGAAAGCCAAGAATTTTGCAGGGGTTCCTTCCCATTGTCCCAGAATGGGTCGCTTAGCATATTGCACGCAAGAGACCAAGGGCAGCAGCTTGAAAAAGGCGGGTGGTTTACCTGGAGAAGGGTCCTCTTCCTTCGTTCCTGACCCAGGAGGTGGCTCCAGAGCTGAAGTCCCAGCTGGTTCCCTGCAAAAACAGGGCAGCCATGGTCCAAACAGACCCCATCCTACAGCAACCCCACAAGCTTTCGAGCCTGCAGGGTAACCCGGATGGCACTGACATCCAGCATCACGGAAGTGGGTGGATGGACCTAGCCTCCCAATCCCTGAGGCTTCGCAAGATTTCGAGGATACAAGGGAGGCCTGGCCAGGGGGCCCTGGGTCCACATACCAGGCCTGCAGCAGCCTCCGGGAAACGCGTAGGCTTCGTTCAAGCTGTCGCTGTCGCTCTGCACAGGCGTCCAGTGCGCCCTGAAGCTCAGCTACCAGCCTGGGGGAATACACGGACGGCTCAGCAGCTAGGCTGGGATCAGGCCTTGAACTGCGCGCCCTCCCGCCCCGTCCCCTCCCACCGCTCGGAACTTACCGACGGCCACTGTCGCCTCGCAGCATGACGGCCTCTCCAGCTCCGGGATCTTTGCAGCCGCTAGTTTCGCCCCTTCCGCATAGGAGACTGCCCCTTCCGGGTAGGCCACCCAATCCTGAGGCCAGCACTCAGCCCCGCCCACCACAGACTCCCGCCAGGGAGCTGGAATAAGCATCAGCAAGGAAGACCTCAGGCTTCAGGTTTGGATTACCGGATACGTGATGGCATCACTCTGGCACTCGTCTTGCAAAGCACCTTTAATCGTTAGCCTTGTCTTAATCTATCCTTGTCGAAGGCACCCTAGAGGGATGAGCTGTCCTGCTGAATCCAGGGCCACCCTGCACTGGTAAGACTGATGTGCGTTGGGATTCGGAACAAGAGACAAGAATAATTCATTTTTTGGAAATAGCACGAGGTGTGACATCCAGGAAAGTGTCAGGCACAAGGATAGAGAGGCATGAAATTCAGATCCACAGCAGGCGCACATGAACAATGAGCGTGGCAAAATGGCTCAAAGTGGGATGTGCAGACCCAACAGGAAGGGTAGCAGCGTGTCAGGAGTGTTCTAGGTGGGGCCGTGGGCAAGTATTACTTCTAAGGAAGGTCTGGGCTGTGTCCACGACGGAATGAAACCTAGGCCTCTCAGGGGACAACTGCAGGACTTCGGATAGAAAAGCTGCTATAAGTGAGGACGGTAGGTCCAGGAGAATTGAGATAACGGAAATAAACAATGAATTATAAAACCCCTGGAGGCCGAGAAATCTCATGTGGGAACTGGATGACCAACCTTGGCTGGGGGCAGGGTGGAGGGGTTAGAGACCTGAGGGTGCCTGGCAGGGAAAGGGAAGGGGGCTGGGACCCAGGTAGCACCTGTAAAGTAGGAGCGCAGGGGAAAGCTTCAAACTCGGGAGCAGCAAGGAGACCCTAAAGAAGAATCAGGTGCTCCCAGGTGTCCCTGGAACGCTTTCCTTCTTCAGGTGCAGGCCGAGTCCACCTGGGGTGGAGATCTTGATGGGGGAGGACCACAACCAAGAGTCGAGACAATGAAGTGAGGAGCTATCACTCACGTACCACTGTCATTACATTTAATCCTCACAACACCCCTGTGAGGTAGGAACAGGCTCACACACACCCAGGGGCATAACGCTGACAGGACAATTCTATATTTCCAGTACTTGGGGTCTCATCCCCACCATGCCCCAGCCATGGTTCGAATTCTTACAGTAGCAAAGACAGCTGCCACGGGGATATCCACATACACATGAGCACATAGCAAAGTGAACACCGAGTCAATTTCCCCCCTTCTCTGTATTTCTGGTTCCAAAGCATGTGGGTGGGGACACTCCTGGCCAAGTGGTTGTTACACTGGAGAGGAGGCGCGAGTGTACCCTAGCAGAGCGGTCAGCGGTTGGCCTTCAGCAGACTCCCCAGGCAGTTTGGGCTGCTTCCTGTTAAGTATCACAAGCCCAGGGGTTCACGCATGATAGGCTAGTGCTCTACCACTGGGCTACATCCCAGCCCTGTCACTTTTGAGGCAGAGAGCTGTCTTGGTGGCCAGCAAGACAGGGAAGGTAAGGTAATGTTTTTTTCCCCCCATAGAATCCACAGCAGATCCACAGTTGGGATTAGACAAAGGCTAACCCTCTGGCTGTTCTTTTGCCTTTTGTTCACCTCAGATATTACAGATGACCCGAATTTTTTTTCTGGCTAACCTCTGGGAAAATCTTTATGCATAAAAAGTGCTGAGATTAGCGGTTGAGGTGGTGCATACTTGTAGTCCCAACACTCTGGGAGGCTGACACAGGAGGATCACAAGTTCGAGCCCAGTCTGAGCAACGTAGTGAGACTTTCTCAAAATAAAATATTTTAAAAGTTGAGGACATAGCTCAGTGTGGAGGCCCTGGGTTCAATTCCAGTACTGCAAAAAACAAAGAAACAAAAACAAAATACCCCAAACAAATAAGTAAAAGAAAAGCACCAGGATAGCATGGAGTCACATTTTCGTTTTTCAGTTGAGCCTAAATAATGTTAGCAATGTCTTGTGGTTTTTTTTCTTTTTTTTTTTGGTATTAGGGATCAAACTCTGGCCCTTGTGTTTGCAAGGCAAGCAGCGAAACCACTGAGCTAAATCCCCAGCCCCTCGTCTTGTTTTTTAATAGCCTCTATTTTAAATGTTAACTTTGTTTTTATCTTGGAAGAAATAAGTCTAGAAATAAAGGGGAAAATGGCCCATAAATTTAGTGCAAAGAGAAATGTTCACATGGACATCACGGGGACACAAACACTCCAGAGGGAGGAAGTATAGTCCCTGCACCTGGTGTTCAGGGCACAGCCCACACAGACGTGTAGGGACACAGGGCCCTTCACCATGGGCCCTGGAAGGGCCTGGAAGGGAGTGGATATCTGGTTCAGGCCATGGTGGTTAAGGGGAACAGCAGTGAGCACCCACTGAGGGCCAAAACCAGACAGATGCCAGCCAGGGACTCAAGCTGCGCCAGGATACCTAGGCCACATGTGTTCTCTGTATGAAAGCTGCCAGCTCCTGGAATGGAGCTCAGTGGGGCTAAGAGCAGGACAAATATGGGTTTAATTTTCCAGACAGTGGGACACAGGAGGTACAGAGGTGGGCTTCACATGGCATGGTATGACTGCTAAGAGGCTAAGTTTTCCAAAGAGGAGTTGAGTTTTAAACACTGATTTGACATTCTGAGGGCCTGTCTAGGTAGGAATCTCCTAGAGAGAAAAACTTGATACCCACAAGTTACCCCTCTGCTCCCTGGAACTGCCCCCAGATCTACAGCCTCCACCTGCCAAACCCCCAGCTCTCTCAGCAGAAGAGCAGCCTTCCTCAGTAAACAATCACTGCAACAGACACTACACACTCACAACTTCAGGAAGCCCAAGTTCATGTCCTCATCACTATGAGTGGATAGATTTTGCCGTTTCACTTGTTGCTGGGGAAGAGTACTCTCTAGGGGGTTCGGGGGACGACACTGTAAACATGACTTCTTGGCCTGATGGTGGCAGGGAGGTGTGTTTGGGTTGCTGCCCAGGGACAACACTGAGGTAGATTGAGAAGGGTCCCCTGAGCCGCCATCCACAGAGCTTGTAGGACTTGTGCTACTGACAGAGGAGTACCCTGAGGTCGTGATGTCCTTGCTGGGCTTCCTCCTGCAGAGAAGGGGCCTCAGCCCTGGAGTTGGAGGTGTCTGAGTGCCTGGCATCTGGTGTCCCTTGTCCTCTGGGCAGGCTTCTTCGTCACTTGATTCCTGGCAGCAGTGCTGTTCTGGGTTTAGGTAGACCACAGTGACATCGAGGACACCACTGGGAGCTGTCACTGTAGGAAATGTTGGGATAGGGGAGGTCATGCCATAGCCTGAGCATCAGAGGTGTAACCCTCTCTGCCCAGTCAGGACCTGGGCAGTTCAAACTTCGGCTCACAGGCAGGACAGTTTACAGCATCCTGTGTCTGATAAAGCATCTCCTACCTGGCTGTAGTCCCTTATATCGCTCAGTTGAAAACTGTGGGTGACATGCTCCTCTCAAGGTAGGAGGGCTGCCACCCTAAAACTCTGAGGGCAACTGGCTAACTTACTCAGCCCCCCAAGTGGACACAAAGTTAGGCGACTGGAAAGGGCTAAAAAGTCTGCCCAAGCTAGAGGTTTTTAGGATGCTGGGGACAGGACCTCCTTCAGCCTATTGGGGGTGGGGAGGAGGGTTATGTATACTATGGGGGTACATCTCAACAGTCCTCTAGAAAGCTCTACTCAGGAATCCCAGATAGGGTCCCTGTCCCTTCCAGTCCCGAGGGCCTTCCACTAACACAGACCCAGTTGGAGCAGACCCACATGTGCCTAAACCTCCGACCCTGTGGGGTAACCCCTATGCCACCCTGAGCCCATGTCTAGGGGGTCTACACTCACACCTCTGGGATGGAACAAGCTCTCCTAGGTGAGGGTATGGTACCAACCCTCAACCGCTGAGTGTAGGAGGCCCTCAGTGGAGGGCAACATCCCTCTGCTACACACTCACCGTCACCCTCCTTCTCGCCCTCACTCTCCTGGTCACCCTCGTAACCAGAGCAGCAGTCCAGGCTCCAGTCTAGGAAGCTGCCCAGCAGTGTCTCTTCCTGGCTGGACAGCTCAGCAGTAGGTGTGGTGACAAAGCTGCCTCGGTCCTCCTGGAGGCTGTTCTCTCGCTTCCTGCGAGATAAGCAAAGCCAGGAAGCTCTAGTCATGCACCAGCTTCAACACCTGTTCACTGCTGGCCTGTGTGCTCTGGAAGGATGTGCTGGGTACAGAATGCCAGTGAGGCTAGAACCACACTGAGGGCCAAAACCAGACAGATGCCAGCCAGGGATGCTAGGTGGCTAGAACCAGTGTGAACCTCGAGGGCAGGGCCTGTCTAGGTGTCAACCCTGGCCCGATCAGCTGCAGGACCCTGGGCCAGCCATCCTCCAGGGTGCTGGTTACAGAAGATGCAGGCAGAGATGGGGCTGTCCCCAGGGAGTGCGGGCACTTCTGCCCACCTGGGGTCAGGCCTGAAGCTGGAGCTTAGGAGAAGACACCGTACCTGCTGAGTTTCTGCTTCCTGAGCTCAGGGAATAGACAAAGTTACCTCTGTATAACCTGAGGATCCCTTTCAGACAACCGACAAGGCTATGGGGGCTGCTGGGAAGCAAGTTTAACAGACTGGGTGTGGGGGAGGGACCAGGAATTCCACCTCCCAGTGCACAAATATATGTCTGTCTGGACTTTCCCTGTGGGTGACTCCATCCGTGGATAGTCAGATTGTCATGAACAGAGTAGGTTGAAAAATGGTGACCTTCTCAGGTGGTCCCAGGTCACTCACATTCAGCACAGTGGCAATGCTTTGGGGCAGTGCATAGGGATGGCTTAGGCTCCTTCTGTATCCGCTGCTTCTTTGGAGCTCCCCTGTAGTTCAAGGGGGCTGTGACCACGGGCCTACTCCCCACACACTCCTGGGGGTAGTCCTGCCTGGCCCTGTGATGTGACAGGGATGACTCAACTACCCAGTGCCTCCTCTCAGGAAGCTAGGGATACAGAGAATGCTAGGAGTTATAGAGGCAGAGCCAGCAGCAGAGAAGGTCCTATTCATCTGGGCCTTGCAGAATCAACAGGAGTTCTTCACATGGGTAATATGGGGAGGGGAGGTTATTCCAGGAAATACAGTGAGAGCAGCGATAAGAGAGATGGGAGTGGGAGGCTGAGGCAGGAGGATCACCATGAGTTTGAGCTCAGCCTGGGCTACATAGCAAGTCCAAGGCCAATCTGAACTACATAGTGAGGCTGTCACAAAACAAGAGAGAGAAAGAGATAGGAGTAAAAAGGAGTACATGCAGACCAAGAGGGAGGACACAGGGGAAGGAGGGAAATGATGAGAATGCTAATCAGGTTATAACCCAAGTGCCGGGAGCGATAGCAACGTGCATAGAGGAAAGTGCCTCAGGACGACACAGGCAAGGTCAGAGCCCAAGTGCAGGATCAGCTGTGCTCAGAACCATTTTCCCCCAAAAGGGAGCCAGGATAAAGCAAGAGAGGCAGCCACCTCTGAAAAAAGAGAGCTGAAGGCAGTGAAGCTCAAGAACACATCCAAGGAGACTGCCTGGGTTCAAGTGCAGGTTCACCCTGTGTGGAGCTCAGACAGAAGGTGTCCGTGAGGGAATTTAGGCCTTGCCTGCAGAAGCCAGCAGCACCACCCTACACGGCCATGGGGTAGCCCTGGGGGGACTCACCGCTTTGTTCTCCTCCCAGAGGGAGAGCTGAGGAAGGGGCAGATCTCCCCCGAGCTGGGGAAAGATACAGGCTCGGGGCTCTCTTTCACTCCCAACGCTGTACACAACTGGCTGTAGCTCAGTACCTGGGGAAGCCAGAGTCAGCAAGGGAAAAGAGCGCCGTGAGGGAGGCTGAAGAGCCCCAGTCCCCACGCCGCATACCCGGCAGACACCTATGTGACAGCACAGGAGAAGGCACCTCACCTCCTCTTGGTTGGGTTCTTCGTACCGCTTGTCCTCGAATCGCTGCTTCACAGCGGTCAGGGACACTTGCCGGTAGTCCTTGGGGGCATCGTCATGGAAGCTGGAAACACACAGGTGGATGTGTGAACCCCCCCCCCATTTCAGTTTGCTCCCTCAAGTGGAGCGAACAACAAGCTTTCAAAACCAGCCCGATGATCAGGTCGCAAAATGGTGTAGTCTCTCTGGAAAATAGCCCGGCGGCTCATCAAGCAATTAAACATAGTTTCCATATGACCTAGCCATCCCACTCCTAGAATTTACACCTGAGAGAAATGAAAACACATGTCCACACAGAAACTCACACCAGACCATGGACAGCAGCACTATTCATAATAGCCAGAAGGCGGAAACAGCCCACGTGTCCATCAGTGGCTGAGTGGATAAACAAAACGTGGTCTAGCCACACAGTGGAATTTTATTTGGCCATTAAAAAAAAAAGGGGGGGCCAGGGGTTTTGACTGTGTGGGTGT